GAAATTAAATTAATTTATATATTTAATATTTATAAATAAAATATGGGCAATTATTTGTAGCAGCTGTTTTTAAAAATCTGGTCATTTTAGTTAAAATGCACTTGTAATTTGTTTTGAAGCTTACATTGTGAACTATTTACAGCTTGGTAGGAAACGATTACTTGGCTAGCAGGTTCTGGACAGAGACATCATATAATGATCAAAGCAAAATGAAAAGGATTGCAAGTGATTTCTCCATTCACGGCTTTCTGTTTTGGCTGGGTATAATCCTTCACCTGGTGTTCGCTGAACAACATCCCTTCTACCTTTTGTTCCTTTGCAAACAGTAAATCCCTTTCATAACTTCTTTCAGCCTCTTCAGATGTTTTAGAACTGATGCTTTATGTTGCTGTGCCAGTGGAAAAAAACATGCACAAGCTCCTCAGCTTTATAAATGTTAACTGCAGTTTGTGGGCAGGGGCATGCAGCTCCCTTTAAGGCTGAGGAACACTTCCTCCATTTAAGTCTCTCCTTCCCAATTAATGTTGTAGCAAAGGAGGATGTTTTCTGTCCTTCTTAGCATACCTCCTAGTGAAAGTATTACTGTCTGCTTAGGTTGGCTTCCTTGTGAGGCATAGATTAGTAGAAGCTTATCTGTGGCAAAGTAATCTGAAACTTACAGATGCTTAATTAAAGCAGGACCTGATTTTGCTAAATGCTACATACAAACAGTAGTAGATAGTCCTTGCTTCACAGATTCTCCTTCTTCAAGCCTGTTTGTTTGAAGTCCATATCCCTTATCTACAGATTGGAAATAAAGGTAGTGAAATATCCAGGATCAGAGTCATGGTGAGGAGAGTAGAGTATTAAACGAGAATGTTCTGGAAATATGTCCAACACTGTCCTTTGTTTGCAAATGATCAGCATGCAAGAGCCAGAACTTTCCCACTTAACAGTTATGCCTGTGATATAAAGAGACTGAATAGACCATTATTGTTTTGGTAGATTGGAAGAGAAAGAATTAAAACTATGCTTTTTATCTCAAAGAAGTAGCAAACTGCACTTTGTCCTAGCTTGGTAGTAAGGAGAAGTACTGCTGTCTAGCAATTCTGTTTTTTTGTTCAAGTCATGTGCTTATATAACAGATTTCTTCCCATCTACTTCAGACATGGAGGCTGTTTAGATTTGCACAGAAACTAACTCAAATTTTAATGCTCAGCTTAAGTTGTGATGCAGCAAATTCTGTTTTTCTGTATTTGCTTGTTTTCTTTAAGTTAAATGGGTTTCTCTTTCTTATCTGAGAAAAAGTCTGTCTATCATAGGTCCCCAAGGTTACCTTCATGTTAAGCCTCAGAATAAAAGCAGCTTGCAGAGACAGACCGATTCAACCTTTCAGACTTTCTTGTTTTCTGAAGCGCAGCTTAACTTTTTGCTTGTTGCTTTTGGTGGGGGGATGAAAAGCGTTTACATTTCTATTTTTACAGTGTTGCATTGATGAACCATAGCTGTTGCCCAAATGTGATTGTAACTTACAAGGGAACCTTGGCTGAAGTCAGAGCTGTTAAAGAGATTGAACCTGGAGAAGAGGTAAATGCACTGTCTTTGAATGTAGTCTGTAAGCATACATCCTAAAAGTAAGATCCATCCTGCTTTTCAGACTTCCTTCAAATCAGATGACAATTTAAGAACTGGGGTGGGGGGAGGGATCTCTTGGTTCTCTAAAGTTTTTGCATTGGAAGAGGTGAGGTGGCTCTAGAGGATTGAAGGCATTCTTGGGGGCAGTATCCTAATCTGTGCTGAGACAAGGGAAGGGCACCTGCAGCAGTCACTTAATACCTGCCAGCCTCTGTCTCAGTTTACCCATCTGAAAAATGAGGCAGATTTTTCTAGTGTTTGGCTGTTGCTTTGAAATTCCAAGATCAAAGCAAATTATTACTGCTATAATAGTTCCCAGTATAATAGTAATGTATTGGAATTGAAGCCAGAATAAACAGGGTAAATGGGCACAGATAAGTCCTCTAACCTCTGTTTGGACAGAGCATCCACAAAACACAGGACTTGGTCGTATCACCTCTGCAGCCTTTGGCTGGGAAGTTGGAGAAGAGCAAGGCTGTGTTTTCAGGTGGAGCAAAGCTGAACAACAATAGATAAAATTCTGTGAAATCAGATAAGGCTCTGGGTTTACCTTGAAACTTTCTCAATCAAGTAATGAACTTGGCAGGGAGTCTTCAGCAGCAGAAGAAAGATGTTAAATAGAGTTGAGGATCTGCAGGGGATGAAAATGCACAACATTCTCTCTGGCGTTGGAGTTTGCAGATAGTTTCAGTGGCTCTTTTGTTTAGTGGGTAAGGTTAATGCTGATCAAAGTAAGTTTGGATTTGATTTGGTAATTCCCACCACTTTTTGAAGTATGTGGTATCAGTTTTGAAGAAGGTTATTTTTGTGGATTGTAGCTGTTCACCATTGTGAGCAAAGGGAGTTTAGTTACTGGAGCCAAGGGTGAATGACTCAGATGAGCAACTTCTTTTTATGCCATTTATTAACGATTATTTGTCTGTGATGCTGGCAGTCACTGCAAGTGTGTTGTGATAATGGACAAGGACTGATCTTGCTTTCAGAATTTTACTGTGGAATCCCAGAGACTTTCAGCATTTTTTGAGAGGACTTATGGTGAGAGAGGTGAAGATGTGGAGTATTTACCTTGCTTGGCATCTTCTTTTAATTGAGTTGTGACTTAGAAGCCGTGTCGGTTCTGGAGGGCCTCAGTGCTTTTGTGCATTCTCTTTTCTGACACTTCGGAATGTTGCCAATATGAGCTCCTGGTTGTGCTTGGGCTCTGTGCAGTCTGATGGCCTCTGTCTCCATCTTCAGGATCGTTGTAGCCATTGCATAGCAACATTTTAAAAGTTTTTGCTGTAAATGCAGTTCCTGCATTTTGCATGCTTTGAAAATAAGGAAGGCAGGGAGAAGAGTGAGAGAGGAAGCGTGAGATCACACAGTGAGAAGAAGAGTATGTGCTGTGTGAAATTACATGTACTTTCTACTTGAAAGAAGGAAGAAACCATAAGCATAAAGACTAAGCAAAACAGTTCAAATAACTATAAATGAGGATATAAAACTAGGGCTGTTCCTTGGTCCGCAAAAGGATTAACTGTGCTGTGCATATGACATGTTTCCTGGGGGAGATCTCATTTTAAAAACAGAGCGTTAAAGCTAGTTGCAGGGGTTCTTTTCTGAAGACCATTGAAGTAGAGGAAAACTTAAGAATAGTGTATGTGAAGGGCCTTTAAAATGTTCAAAAGCAAGTTTTCTTTTCTTTAAAATATTGCTGCTGAAGTAAATCTGATAATAATTCTCCTAGAACTGGAGAACTGAGCCTCTCTTCTTTTCAGAGATCTAAAGGTCTTGTCCAAAGTTTCTAAAGTTGCTAGTGACTGCTGTTGCCCCAATTTTTGTAGGTTTTCAGAAAGAAAAAATTGAGATTCTAGCCTCCATAAAACCAGGCCACTGTAATTGGTCCTAGGCTGGATACCTGAAATCATTATTTTACTTTGCAAAAGTAGGCAACTCTTTGTAGTCTGACAGGAGCCTGAGATTTATGCTGTGATACTTTCCTTATCCACACCTGAATCTTGCTGTCCTGGGTTTAAGCCAAGGTAATATTTGAGGGAAATTCCATAATGAATAGAAAAGGAAAGACTTCTCTGTCAGATTGGATTCACAAATGGCAGCTCCTGATGCTGCTGAGAGGCTTGGAATACCATGGAATGGCGATCTAACTGCAGTGATCCACAAGTTACAAAAATATGTAGCTGTCATACTACATGCAGCAGAACTAGTAGTGGTAAATAGGTATAGTTACACTGCTTTTCACTGACTGCTGTGCTTTTACCATATAGGTTTTTAGCAGCTATATTGACCTGTTGTATCCCACAGAAGACAGAAATGACCGGTTACAAGACTCGTATTTCTTTAAATGTGATTGCAGGGAGTGCGTTACAAAGGAAAAGGTAATAAAATTAGTGTGAAATATACTTCTGACTGTCAAGGCACCTACCCAGGTTAATAGGAGGCAGGGGGGTGGTTTTGATTTTTCCATCTAGAAAACAGTGTCATGCTTTCCACTGTAATCATGACACACCAGGAAATCTTGTAGAAGCCATTTAAAGTTGAGCTACAAAGCCAATATTAAAACTTTGTTAGAAGTAGATAATTACAGTGTGTCTATGCTACCTGGCCAAAAGAATTTAGCTCAGAACTCATGGGTTTTTTTGTAACTGCATATTTTCTACCAACTCCCAGCGAGTGAATCTTGCTTGGAGCATTTCTGGGGTCCTGTTCTCCTGCTGCAGTTCCCCATTGGGATATCTCAGCTGATTTCTAGGTGATACTTTATGGTTTGGCTGGATGGTTTGGAGACCCAGCAGAATCTGCAAAACAGGCTTTTCTGCAATGGTGTCATATTGGTCTTCTCAGAGACAGGATGGTCCTGGGTCACAGCACCTTGTGCAGGCCAGATTTATGTTCATTAGACATCACCTGGTGCCTTTCAAAGAACAAAGGCAGACATCCAGACAGTGTTCCTTAAAACAAAGTGTTAGGTATTTTGAAGAAAAGCACTTATGGGGGCCCAAAGGCACCCAAACCCAACAGATGCTGAAACAACTGTGCTTGTGCAATAATTTGGACCTCCTTCACTGGAGGTCCAGGGAGAATTGAGCTCAGTGTGGCTGATCTGTAATTTCAGCCAAGATCACTCTGCCTGGCATAATCTGATCCTTAAGTTCCAGATAATTTTTTCCCCTCTCTTTCACAATGATATCCTTTGAAGAGATGCTTCCCAAAATGACCAGAGAACCATCTCCTTCCTCTAAATGGTGTCATCACTTATAACTTTTTTTTTTTCCAAATAGTACCCAATATTTTTGTTTCAGGCCATTCTCTTGATACCAGAGTTGTGTTTTTCCCCACAGTTACCTTGATAATTTTGCCACTGAGTTTAATGAAGCCAGGATTTCACCTGTGATTTCCAACAACATGCTACTCTTGGAATCACCTCTCACTCAGCCTCCACCTCTGGAAAAGGTCCCTTATAGCCCTCTCAGCTGGCAGATGAAGTAATAAAGGAGAAAGAAATCTAGCAACATTGTGAGGCTTAAACAGCAAAACATTGTCTCCAGATTGCAGCTGAATCTTCACGAAGTAGTAAGTTAGAGAGAAAGATAAGAGTAAACGGAGCTGTCCAGCAGAAATATCATCTGTGGAAATGTGGTTTTGTCTGTAGATACATAAGGGTCCTTTTCTATATTTAATATCGACTCGTTTTCCACACAGCTATTGCTTGGTGGTAAGCCTAAGGTGTCTGGGCTTTTCTAGACTTAAAACGAAATTAATTTTAATCCCTAACATCTTGGAAGCAGTGGAATTTCCTATGTTAAACTGCTTTCATGAAAAAATTGAAAAGCTCTTGGATGTTTCAAAAGAAAGGAACTTCATGGAAGTAGAGAGAATGGCAGATGAACTGGAAGGCACAGAGGATTCTAGGATTCCCTGCCAAGGCTTTAGAAAAAAATGGCAGGTGCACATTCTACCTTTGTTTTTGCGTTCTTTGATGAGCTTACGTTCCCATCTGTGTCGTTTTATTACTGTAATTTAGTGTAGCAGGTGAACCTTTATTTGTGGTTCAGGGCTTGGAACCTGCATTTATAATGTTCATCGTGTTTCCTTCAGGATAAAGAGAAACTGGAAATCCGTAAACTGAATGACCCTCCATCAGCAGAGTCGGTCCGGGACATGATCAAATATGCCAGGAATGTGATTGAGGAATTCAGGAGAGCCAAACACTACAAATATATCCTTTGTCTTGTTCTGACTCCACTGGCTTGGTGTGTGACCTAAAAATCTTACCTGCTGGGTTGGTTCAGAAGTACCTGCAGGAGAAGCCCTATGACCATTAGAAGTTAAACTTACCTCTGTCCCCTTTGCCTGAAGAGTTGCCCCTGGAGACAAGGGACAGTTTAACACTGCAGGATTGTGAGACACTGTTCCTTCCTATGTGGTTCTCAGTTGCTAATGGCGCAGCATGTGGCTGTCTCCACAGCCCAGAGACAAGAGTGAGCACAGATGTGTCGCTGTGTTAGTGTACTGTAATATTGCCCTGTTTTGAGAGACTGCATCTGAGGCTGCAGTTATTACTGATGGTCACAAGCCCACCTTCAAACAGTGATGCAGACAAAAATGTAAGATTCATTGGGCCAAAAGCAGACCAGGCTACCTTGTGCCTGATTCAGTACTCACTGCGTGGGGAATTTCACTCCCACTTCTTCTGACACATTGCTGGTGTGGTGGTGATTCAGGAAATCAGCTTTTTTCTGTTGTTGCTTTTTAAATTCAAAAGCTAGTTTTGTAGGATATCTGAGTAGGAGGGGTAATAATCTCCTTAGCAGAATACCTCTCAAAGTAGCTCTGGGGTTGTAGTGTAGATGCATTGAGGCCATTTGAGAGAAAAGAGGACTTCTCGGAACCATTCTGAAGAAGCTTAAGTAAATTCTTCTTTGGCATTACCTGGTAGTTGTCTGATCACAGACCATTTATTATTGAATTCCTTGACTTCTTCATACCTCCTAGTGAATTACTGGAGATCTGTGAACTTAGCCTGGAGAAGATGGCTGCAGTGTTTGAAGACAGTAATGTTTATATGTTACATATGATGTACCAGGCCATGGGAGTCTGTCTCTACATGCAGGACTGGGAAGGTGCACTGCGTTATGGGCAAAAAATTATCAGACCATACAGGTAAATATGAGCCTTTTTTTAGTGCTCTGATTCAGTGGTCTGAATAATTGAGACAAGTTTGAGCAGAGAACACTTCTCTCAGTACGTATTGTATAAACATGCTACCCGTGACATCACTACTCAAAAGGAATGTTTAAATGCTGGGACAGATTTTTGTTACTGTCAAAATGCATCCTGAAATTCATAGCAGAAGATGAGTCTGAAATCCTTACTTCAGGTTCTCAAAAGAAGTTTGTACCACCGTGGATACTGTGCGAGTTCTGTTTAGCTGGATAAATACTGGGCTTTTAAAATACCCTAATACTTTACTAATGCAGAGCTTCAAAGTGCATCTGCAATCCGTATTTTGTGTAAGGTAACAGAGGCAAAGCCCGCTGTTGCTGCCAGCCTCCCACCCTCTCCCAGTCCTTTCTCTTTGCAGTAGCACAGCAGTTGTGGTTGCAGGAGAGTAGAGCCCTATCCCAGAGCTGGGGCTGAGCACCAGAGGGAGCTGAAGCCCAGGTCAGCTCGTGGGTTTCTAGGATGTCCCTCATCTCCGCTGCCCTAGAGCTGAAGCCCTGTGTGGGGCAAGGCAGCATGCAGCCTCTGCAGGAAAAAAATAAATACTCTCTATGATACCATTTTCTGTGTTTTTACAGTAGTCATCTCGTTCATTAGAGCCAGCCAGTTACACACTGCATCTGATCCTGCCATGAATCTCCCAAGCAGAATCTCATCTTGAGATGTGACTTTCTTGCCAGCTGGGGGGAGCACAAGTAAAGCACTCCCTTTGGAGCAGATGCCAACGTAAAGTCACAGATCACTTGGCAGAGAGCAGCGATACAAAGAAGGAGCCAACATTTTCCCCCTGGGGGCTAAGTACTATTTATCTTCCCTGGGACTTGCCCAGCTCCTCTGGCTTGGAGCCTGGCATTCCAGGTCAGCTCTGCTGAACCGGACTCTGCTAGCTCAGTGTGTGCAAGTACCAAATGGCATGTGTGCTGTACGCGCTGCCCAGGGCCCCTCACTTTCCATTAAACACGGACTATTGTGCAATAGGCAGTTACTTCTGCGGGTGTAGGGTTGCTCCAAAAACTCCTAACAATGCAGTCTTTTTCTGTAGCTGGCTCGATGGGAACTAGTGGCAGAAAGTCATTGCCATCTGACAGCTGTTCAGAGGCATATGGTAGTTTCAGTTCAATTCCCAGCTGACAGGCGTCCCCATCCCAGACACAATTGGCACTGACTCTTGGCAGTCATGGCAGAGGGGATGAGCGTAGTGAATGGGCAGGGGCAAAGAGAGGCAGCTTCTTGCCCCCTGAGAGGGGGATGGGAGCTGGGAGAATGCTATGAAACTGCCAGGTTTGATAAAGCTGAATTTCTTTCTCCCTTGCAGTAAGCATTATCCCTCCTACTCGCTGAATGTTGCCTCCATGTGGCTGAAATTAGGGAGACTGTATATACCGGACTCTGCTAGCTCAGTGTGTGCAAGTACCAAATGGCATGTGTGCTGTACGCGCTGCCCAGGGCCCCTCACTTTCCATTAAACACGGACTATTGTGCAATAGGCAGTTACTTCTGCGGGTGTAGGGTTGCTCCAAAAACTCCTAACAATGCAGTCTTTTTCTGTAGCTGGCTCGATGGGAACTAGTGGCAGAAAGTCATTGCCATCTGACAGCTGTTCAGAGGCATATGGTAGTTTCAGTTCAATTCCCAGCTGACAGGCGTCCCCATCCCAGACACAATTGGCACTGACTCTTGGCAGTCATGGCAGAGGGGATGAGCGTAGTGAATGGGCAGGGGCAAAGAGAGGCAGCTTCTTGCCCCCTGAGAGGGGGATGGGAGCTGGGAGAATGCTATGAAACTGCCAGGTTTGATAAAGCTGAATTTCTTTCTCCCTTGCAGTAAGCATTATCCCTCCTACTCGCTGAATGTTGCCTCCATGTGGCTGAAATTAGGGAGACTGTATATGGCGCTGGAGAACAGAACGGCTGGAGTTAAAGCCCTGAAGAGGGTATTTATTTCCTGGTTTCTTCCCTAATAATACAAGTTGAGGCATGGGATCATTGAAACACTACGTGCTTCTCTGTCAGTAAGCCTGGCTTGGTAGGAGATTCACCATGTTTTAATATATTTGGGTACTGGATTTTTGGCTCAGTTCTGATTTTTCCAAAGATGCAGTATGGGTCTGTTCTCCCATACAAGGGGTCTTACCTGTTTCACAGTGGCCTTCTGCTGCAGCAGTGGAGTGAGGAGTGTGCTTAAACATTTGCTGTACATTGCTTTCTGAGCTAGAGCTATACTAGTGTAAATGAAGCAGAACCTTAGCTTCTCCTCACTCACTAGGTAAGGACAGAAAAAATACTTGGCTCTTACAAAAGGCACATAGTGTTTCATTGAAGTCTGTGATTTCTGTATCCAAGTCAAACTAGGCATGCTTTTGGTGGTTATTTGTTCTGGAACCAAGTGATTTTTGAATAGCTGAAGGGAATTTGATGCGTATGGTAATGCTGAAATTGGCAAGTACAGCATTTGTTTCTACATTTTTCTTCACCCCTTTTTGTTAGTTTGTTCCTTATTTTTTAGTTTTTTATTCTTCTATTTTTTTATTAGTCTGTACAAGGTTTCTTGACTTTCTTCCCCTGTTGTTGATGGGCAGAAGTTTATTTTAGATTCTTAAGCATCAATGACTACTGTAGCAGATAATGACTTGGTTTGGAATGTCAATTTTTTTTTTTTCTTCCTTTTTTAGTTACTGGCAGGTTTTTAGCCAGCAATAAGAGAGTCATCGAGTCATAGTGAAAGACACTATAAGAATATATGCTCTAAGTTTTTACTGTTACCTAGTTTAAAATTAGCCTAGGTTTTCCTTTGCCATGATGTTAAAGCTTTGACTAAAATTGAGATTTGTGCCAGTAGGAACATGGGACTGGGGAGGGGGTGTTGGGAACTGTAGGTAGATTTGTTGGCATAGTTAGCTTCCTAACACAAACATTTCCTAATGACTCACTTCCAAAAGCTGCCTGCAGGAACTGCCCAAAGTTATCCCAGCCCCTGATGTTTGGGATTTAGTGGAAAAACAAAGCCATTGTTCTCTGTCAGTTTGCAAGCAGCTCACCCAGAAGGCCCTCTTTTCTCCTCTGGGCAGGAGGGGGAATGGAGTAATTTCTTATTGCTGCTGAGGTGGAACCAAAGGCTGTTGTTGTTCTGACTTACTTAAAAAATACAAGAGCATAATTCCATAAAAGTTTCCCAAGGAAAAAATGACTAAATGCTCTGATGGCTAGGAACCTGTGATTCCTTGCTTTAGCTTAGCACTCTGGTCTTTAAATATTCTCACAGGCACTCTGAAATTGTTTCTTTCCCTCCTATCTACTGCTGCCTTTTATTACACCCATTTGGGACCACTGCTCTCCTTTTCTCAAGTGGAAATTTTGCCTCTACACCTACTCTCCAAAGCAGAATGGATAGTGGCAGGAAAGTACAACTCAGCCTTAAACATTCACTCTCAGGACCAGAGCTGGCTGTAGATGAAACAGCAGGAAGTTGGGCACAGCAGCTTCCTTCATAAAGCAGTAGTAGCCCCTGGAACCAGGGGAGGGTGTCAAATGCCTTAATGTAACTTCTGCAATAGCCCTGCTTGTCAGTCTGACAGCCAAAGGATAAATCGGTAGGAACAGGGCTCCATCTGACACTGGTAAAGTCCTTTGCCAGAATATTACCCACCCCATGTGCAGTTTTCTGTCCTGGCCCTGGTTGCATTCAAAGTAGTTTTGTCAGGAATATAATTTTGAAAGGTGCTTTGGGATCCTTCAAGATGAAAGATGTATTATCTGAATGTAAAAGCTTTATTACTTAGTTTTGAATTTCATTTTATTTCCTACTGGGTTTATGACTACAAGGGGACAAAAAGTAGCTAGAGGTGTCAGACTGTTTCAAACCTCTAAAGAGAGTATTTATAGCCTGGTGTTATATATGAATCAATTGTGTGAATATTTTTTTCTTTTCATAGGCAATTGCTATCATGGAAGTAGCACACGGGAAAGATCATCCATACATTTCAGAGATCAAAAAGGAATTAGAGGATCACTGAGCCTTTGAATCTATGCAATCCTTCAAACCTTTATTTAAAAAGCCTTGTTATGGAAACCTTCAGGAAACCTTTGAAAAGCAGTAGAGTATGAACACAGTCTTGTCCTATAATTGGAATGACAAACACACTTAGGCCTTGTAAAATGTTCCTGAGCTTCCACACATCTACACTTGCCTTTTTTGTTTCTTTTTTTTTTTTTTGAAGGGAAGCATCCATGGTTTCTTAAAGATTATGCCTTTTTGACAGCTCACATGCAAAAATAGACTTTTTTTCACCATGGATTTTAATGTTTGTCTAATTTCTGTAAAGTAAATAAAGCTGTCTTGCCCCCTCTTAATTCCACTTCTACAATTAAATGGGTGCAATAGTTTTCTGACATCTACTTTTGCCTAGGTTGTTTCATTTAATCTGACAAATCAATTAGTGAAAAGGACACTCTTTTTATTTGGTTTGGTATACAATTCCTCTTTTCACAAATCATTTTCTTTGTAGTGGCTTATCTGAGAGAAAGGGGAAATGGGGGTGATGAATTCTGCTCACTGTGTAGGAAAGCCACCCCCTTTCCCTCAGCCCAGTAATCTCCAGGCCCATCACTGCTCCTGGCAGTCCCAGGGATTCATCACTGTAAGGACCTAGAGCTCAAGCACATCTTTTTCAGGGAACACTGGCCCCTACCTCTGAGCTTGTAGGCTTGCACAAGACGTGGACTGTGCAAATTTTTTAATTCCCTTGACAAGTTAAAATGCATTTGTTGCAGAGGAAAGCTGTGTATTTCCAGCACTGAAGTTGAAGTATGTTGCACAGTAAACTACATGACCATTCCTTACTGCTTTCACAGTTTATAAAGTATAATGAGAAAGGTAACACATCACCATTAATAACTTCATCATATTTTCCTTCTTCCAAGAGCTGCTCTGAAAATACAACTGCTGGAGAAACAAGGGTTTGTCACCTGATTTTGCTGAAAGCTTTCATTCCTCTCTAAGCAGCAATTGTAGGTGGAGTGCATAAAACAACACCAGATCTTAATGATTCTGGAAAGGCAAGGCCACTTAACTACAGCCATGCCTAGAAAGAGGGCACCAGCTGACTATTTTATTCCTAACTTTATCTTGAAAAGCCAACTCTCTTCCAGGGGAATAACATCATTTCAGAAAACCTGTCTAGAGCCCAAACTACTTCAACACTGAAGAATCAGATGAACCTAGCATCAGCACTGGAAGGAGCCTTGCCCCAGTGAAACCTGGATTACTGCTTACAGAAATTCTTCAGAGCTCACTGTGGCCCTAGCTGTGTCCAGCAGTTTAACATAGGAAACCAACATAAGCACAATAGGTGCAAATACAAAACCTTAAGCTGGTACAGGAAAGAACACAAGCATAGTTTTCCTTGAAAAAAGTGGTTTATTGTATGTTGTGAATATGAAGGACAGCCTTACCAAAAAAAACCTCAGTGACTGAAGACATACTCACATTTGCAAAAGCATGTAAGAAACTATTTACACAAAGGCAGTGAAAGGGGTAAAAAATTATTGCAATTAATGCTGAATAGAACTTTATAAAAAGAGAAAGAAGAGAAACAGTGCAAAAATACTGTCAAAAGTAATCAGTTCTATACAGAAGATAAAACTGACAAGCATAAGCTTATGTACTGATATGAATAATACATTAGAATATAAAATAGCATGCATAGTTGTTTGTTTTTTTAAGGCTTTCAATAGCATAGAAGAGTTCTGCCATTCAGCCCTAGCAGAAGGGAGTGCAGGGCAGGAAGGGCATGTAACTGATGTCTTGCTTCTCTACAAAATGTGTACATACAATGAGGTGGTGAGATTCTGATCACTTTTATGCTAAACTGTCATATACAGAACAAATAAAACAGGAAGCATCAAAATACTGAAGTAAAACAGGATAGTAAAAATCCAGTGACATAAAACTTACTTAAACGTTATTTCATTTAACACATGTTCCACACAGTTATATATGGGAATATTACAGTCACCTGCATGTGTAAACTTTTTTCCTTTGTAAAATAGCCAAAGAAAGGTACTTTACTAATGAGGAAAACATTTTCCATATGGAGCAATCTCAAAAGGATAAACATCCTACTAATGTTTCTGGCACTGAAGATTTGTTTTCTTTTAAAGACCAAGTAGCAGCAAGAAAATAATTTTATTTAACATACACAAAAAGGAAGTTCATATAGAACTAACGTATAATTAAGTTGTAGAACTTGCCAACACGGGACATTGTGAAGGCCAGAGGAATAAATGAGTTCTAAAGAAAAGGTAATGTGATTCATGGAAGGTGGACCTATCAGTAGCTCCTAAACACTTCCTCCTCAGGAATCCCCTAAAAGGACTGGTTGCCAGGTGTGCTAGAGAGGCTGAGCACCTACTCTTCTCTAGACATTTGTATTTCTTCCTTAAGTGTCAACTGCCAGCTGCTGTCCCAGACAGGGTGTGACCATCAGCCTGTCGTGGAAGTCGTTTGTGGGAACCTTCCTCTTTTATTCCTGCCTGCCTCCTCAGGGAACACTGTCCCTGAAATAGCTGGAGCTGAGTGTCCAAAACACTGAGTCCAACTCGGGTGATTGGGAAGACTAAAACTGTTAAGCACTGTATTAATGTAAGGGATCAGCAGCAGTAATAGTCTTGCTATTAAATAGTGCTGGGATTCTTCAGTGAAAGCTGCTATTTTACCACTGACTTCCAGCTCCCCTTCCAAATACAAAGTCTTGCTTTTGTAGCATGTGGGGAAACTCTCAGTGAAGGTGCACACAAAACACAGCCAACAAAACTTCAAAGAAATGCCAGCTGAAAAATGGCTGAGAGGAACCAAGGAGATTTAGTCTAAGATACTCTAAAACACTGACAAAATGTATTTAAATATTTATATAAACACCACTTGTTTTGACTTGTGCACTAAATGTTCTGTTTCATAATCTATCAGTAGTTTATCTATGGTTAAGACCTCCATCTTCTGTTGTTTGCCCAAGAACCCAGGCTGCCAGCTGTTACCTTCTTCATATCAGTCCCTGGAAGCCAAGGCTTCATGCAGCTACACATGTAACATCCTCCTCTAAAGACTCAGCTGGCATATGCAGTTCCCATAGCACCAGGTTCTACAAGAACACTCTAGAAGGCTAAGAATGAGCTGGGGGACTCTTGCCTTTGGCATTTTGGAACCACAACCTTGCTTTTGTTGGCATCAAAACCCGTCTCCAAACTCCTTATGACTGATTATCCATCAGCAGATTTACACCCATTTTTGTAGCGGGGTGGCCAAATTATGTTGTCATGCAGTGCTTCCCTTTCAAGGTCAGTTCTGATATTTGATCCTTCAATATGATGCATCCTTTATTTCATGCAGTGCACACCACCTCAGCTCTCTGGATGCAAAGTGTTCTTTTCTACAAAGACAAGCAGCAAAATTTAACTCTCACCTCTCTGTGATGCATGAGAGCTGCCACAGCAGTTATTGCCCATAATGATGTTTCCAGTTCCTGAGCACACTGCTAGCAAGCCTGTCAGGAGCTAATTCAGTTGTCATCTCCTCCAAGAAGACTGGTGGGAACTCAGCTTTTGAGAATGCAGCATAGTCCAATATAGGTTAGAGATGGACCTGCTGAAAAGCAGTTCTGAGGAGCAGGATCTGGAAGCCTGGCAGATAGCAAGTTATCCATGAGCCAGCAATGTGTCCTTGTTGCCAAGAAGGCCAATGGAACCCTGGCATGCATAAGGAAGTGTGACCAGTAGGGCAAGAGAAGTCATTCTCCCTCCAGATATGAGACCACATCTGGAATACTGCATCCAGTTCTGACCTGCCCTGCTCAAGAGAGTGAGGGAACCACTTAAAGAGGGTCCAGCGGAGGGCAAGAAAGGTGATTGTGGGATTGGAGCATCTCCCTTATGAGGAAAGGCTGAGGGAGCTGGAACTCTAGCCTTGAGAGGAGAAGCCCGAGGGGAAACCTTAGGAATGTCTCTTTAGTATCTAAAAGCTGGGAGCTAAGAAGATGGAACCAGACTCTTTTCAGTAGTTCCCAGTGACAGGATGAGGTGCAATGGGCACAAGCTAGAACATAGGAAGTTCCATTTAAATATGAGGAAAAACTTCTCTGTGGTGAAGGTGGCAGAACACTGGAACAGGCTGCCCAGGAAGGTTGTAGAGTCCCCTTCTCTGGAGATATTCAAGACCTGCCTGGATGCAGTCCTGAGTGATGTGCTCTAGGGGATCCTGCTTTAGGAGGGGAGTTTGACTAGATCATCTCTGTCTGCTTGCAGGAAAGTAATTTTTAAAAGAAAAAAAAATAACCAAACAAGGCAAAACAAAAAACCCCCAAGAACCGCCTCTTGAAATCATTCAAATATTTAGTAATATTGTAGCTAAGGTACCTGACTTCTCAAGCTACCTGAAAGGAAGATGTAGCAAGGTGGTCCCTTTTAACAAGAAACAGGACAAGAGGAAATGGTCTTAAGATTTGCACCAGAGGAGGTTTAGATTAGATGCCAGAAGAAACTTCTTCACCTAAATGGTTGTCAAGACAATGGAACAGGCTGCCCAGGAAGCTGGCTGAATCTCTACCTCTGTATGTGTTTAAAAGATAGCAGATATGGTGCTCAGAAATATGGTTTAGCACTGGACTTGATGATCTTGAAGGTCTTTTCCAACCAGAATGATTCTGTGATTTAGGCAAGAGGAACAGAAATGTCCTTCAATATACTTTTTATAAAGGGCTGCATTAGCAATAGGTTAAATAAGTTCTCACAGATGTGTCTCCTGCCAGATGAAATTAGTTTAGAGAAAAGCTATTACCAATAAGGCTGAGCATTTAGGGTCCCTATATAGGAGAAAGCTTGTGGGAACAAGCTTCATCTTTCCTCAGGTAATGAAGGAAAAGTGCCAAAGCAGGCCTGAGGAGTAGCTGAAACAAGTAGGACCTGAGCAGCTAATGTTTACCATCCTCCTTCCATGCAGCCTGTGGTGGATGGAAAGAAGCAGGATGTTGACAGCACTAAGCAGCATCAGAACTCAGCTGTAATCCCTCCCATCCCTGATCAGACAATGTTAGGCGTAAGATGCTCAGAATGTAACAGTAACCACAAATTTTATGTAAGCAATCTCAATGCTATCATTGTTTAAAGAAAAAAAAAAATAAATGGCAAAATTAAATGCAGATTAAGAGTGCATAAAGAGGAAAACATACACGATCAATTCCCATGTTAGACTTACTCATCTACTCCAAGTCCTCTCGGAAAGAGTCAGGGAGCATAGGGCAAATGTGCTTACGTGGAGTCTTTGGAGACAATTGCTTGTGTCAAACTTTTTAAAGTGCA